CCTGTGACTAGTTCTTTTTGCGGTCGGGGGCCCCACGATCATGTCTGAACCAATTTATGTTTTTGGTATTTTGTTTTTGATATGGTGACATTTCTTACAATCATCATGTTAGTGAAGATGAGGTTAGTGATTCTCCATCTAGTGGTCTTTTTTTTGCGGGTTTTAAAATTAAATTTTTGGCAGGATTTAAAGTCGTGTGATGTGAGTTTTCATCAGAGCTCCTCCTGGTTTTTACTGCAACAATATTATTTTCTTTTTTCCTCCTTTTAGGGCCTTAATTGAAATCCCCCCCAAACAAAATGTTTTGGGGGCAGGAGCGGGAAGATTTTTTCCGACGTGGGCAATTTTTTTAAAAGCGTTCCTGGGAAATTTCTGGATGTTGCATCCCGGGGCTTGTAAATACCCCAAAGACTAGGTTTTGGTTCTCGACCTTTTCTGCTAAAACTTCCATAGTCATTTGAGGGATTAAGCAGTTCTGTGCAAACAATGACCTGCAATGACAGGCCAAACCCCCCCCCTTTTTCCTGTTCACTCTGCACATCTGTATAGGGTTTTAACCTGGGTCCCATATTTTTGTTTCCAAATACCCTTTTTGTGGGTTTCCCGTGAAAGCCGCGAACATTGCCTTTGCCTCTGCAAACAGTCCAGGAAAAAGGGATTTTGTTGTTTATTTTCTGGCTTTAGCCCCCGTATATTTGCAAAGAAAATGTTTTTCGGGCTGGTGGGATTGTTTTGGATGGGGGGGGGTTTTTTTTCCCGGGATTAGATCTTATCGTGGTTTGGAGTGGAGGCCACGACTGGGCCACTCCAGGAATGAGGATTTGGGTTTTCGATTTTTCCATTTCCTGCCGTTTTTTTCCTTCCGGCACTAAAAAACCTCTCCTCTTGAGTGGCGTGGGTCCCAGGTTTTTTCCCCTGGCCGGATGTTTTGTATCTTTTTTTTCCCCTTTTGATGGATGCCCGGAATTTTTGTTATAGCACAGTCTTTTCCTGTACTGAAGAGGGAACATTCAGGTGAAAAAAGCTTTCAGGAAGGGAGTTTCATTTTCTTTTGTCTAAGGGGGGTGACATTTTTTTAGGGTGGTCATAGTTCATGCCCATCTTTTTTCCAGATTTCCCCTGCCCCGCAGAACCAAGTGATATATTGCACAGGGTTGGTTTCCGTTTTCCTTGGGGTTTTTGATGTATTCCCCGTTGGGGCATGTTTCCCTGTCTTATTTATCCTCCTTAACCAACAAAGGAGCTCCCCCAGTTGTTTTTTGGGAATTTATCCTCATATTGCTATTTGGGGTCCCCTTTTTGCTTTTCCTGCGGTATTTCTTTTTGCAATATTGGTTTTTTTTTTTTTATCTTTGACTACACTTTTTTCCTACTAGGCTCTTCCTCTATGAGGCATTTTTTATGTATTTCCCTTCTGGTTAATTCCCGACACCGGGCAAAATCTCCGCTTCACCATTACTTCTCCAGACAAAATCTCCAACTTTACCATTTCTGTTCCCGGGCAGACCCCCAGCTTCACCATTTCTGTCTCCCCGGACAGCACTATCGCCCCCCAATTTTCGACTACCAGAATCACCTCCAGCCTTACAGTTTGTGATAAATGGCCATTCAAGGGATCCATTCAGCCCCGGGCTTTTTAAAGTTCCATCTTTTTTGAAAGCTTCCCGGTTTTTTATGAAAGCAGTTTTATGTTATCCCCTTTTAAAACCCTTGTGATTTTATCCACAGATTTTCCCCCATTTGGGGAAAACCCAAAAAAATTCCGTTTTAATACGTGTACTAGTTCTGGGGTATCTGCACAAAGCGTGACACCAATTTCCACAAAATGCAATTTATCCAGTGGTAGCCCGTTTTTTTTGACTGACCACAGACTACACACAGCTTCTAAAGATTTGAATGGTTTATTTACGCAAGTTACTAGCAACCTCTTTTAATATTATATTAATAACCTTAAATGAAACTCTGCATTTTGTATTTCTGTTTTTTAACTCTTTTTGTATTTGGAAGCTTACCGTCACGTTCCCGATTTTTTAAAGTTGTGTTTAAGGGGGCCTACAAACCATCCGTTTTTCAGTCTGCTTTTTGTCCCAAAGAAACTGTTTGAAACCAGTCAAGGGTTTGACCAGTCAAGGGTTCGGGCCATCGATTGCTCTGACAGTGGGTCACTTATTTAAAAATACTGGTCGGTGATTTTAGCTAAAATAAAATCTACTGGAAATTACTACCCATAATATGTGTTTGAGATACAAAAGTAAACTTGCGTGTTGAAGAGCCGGGATATCTGGGTCCTACAATGAGTACAGTCGACCTCTTTTTTTACAAACGGTATCTGGCTTTTCTATTTTTGTTTTTTTCCCTCTCCACCACAATAAAAGCTATATTTTCACTATAGTTGACTGGTGCAAATTTTGGAGGAAGGACGCTTTTTCTGTAGTAATAATTGCTTCTCGTTGTGTATATTGCGACCGCTGGTAACTACAGGTTATATGAAATTCACAGTAACGTCTCGTATTTCAAGAAAAAGAAACTAATGAAAGTCACTCCACTCCACTAAGTACCATTATAATACTGGTTAGTTGCTACTACAACACTGTATTCTGCTATTCACTGGTATCACTAGATTATATATTATATATATATATATATATTTATTATTATATATATATATATATATATATATATATATATATATATTATATATATATAATGTATTATATATATGTATTATATATATGTATTATATATATGTATATATTATATATATATACAGTGGACCCCCGCATAACGATTACCTCCGAATGCGACCAATTATGTTAATGTATTTATGTAAGTGCGTTTGTACGTGTATGTTTGGGGGTCTGAAATGGACTAATCTACTTCACAATATTCCTTATGGGAATAAATTCGGTCAGTACTGGCACCTGAACATACTTATGGAGTGAAAAAATATCGTTAACCGGGGGTCCACTGTATATATGTATATATATATATATATATATATATATATATATATATATATATATATATATTATGATTATATATATATACATATATATATATAATGCTGTGCGAAGAATCCTCCCAGAAGTCTCTACTACCACTCCATCCAACAGTACCCTTGTGGGAGCACTGCTGGGTCACCAGGCCATCGGCACTGACCTCAAGGACAAATTGAATGACCTGATGAGAATGGAGGAGAGAATAAGTGATCTTGATGCCCATGATGCTCTGTATCTCTTCACAAGGTGCCTTACTATGCCAAGACTCACTTCCTGAGGTGTGCACCCTCTTTTGACAACCCAACACTCGACGAATATGACGCACACCTGAGGTCAGCCTTTAAGAAGGCACTGAACCTGTCACTCGAGGATCAGCAATGGGATCTGCCAACCCTCCCAGTGCGACTGGGAGGTATAGGGGTGCACAAAGCAACGCATGTTGCTTTACCTGCTTTTCTGTCTTCATGTTTGGCTTCCAGTGCATTAGTCAAGAAGATTGTTCCAGAACGCTTGAGAGATGTGGTAGGAGCTCAAGACCCCAGGTTTACTGAAGCAGTGATTCGGTGGGACACCCTTACAGATTCCTCCAGTAGACCAGCTCCTCCCAAAGAACACAAAGAGTCCTACTGGGACAAACCGATCATGGAAAAAATCGCCAACACAATGCTCTCCAACACCTCAGGAAAGGACAAAGCTCGTCTCCTGGCAGTGAAGGCACCACACTCAGGAGATTTCCTGTTAGCTGTTCCCAATTCCTCCTTGGGCACTCGACTAGATCCACAGGCCATTCAGATTGGGGTTGCTCTTCACCTAGCCGCCCCATCCTCACCGAACATAGGTGTATTTGTGGCAGGGCGATAGCTGATCAATTCGGACTTTATGGTCTCGTGTGTCACACAGCAGAAGGGAAGTATGCCAGACATGAGGATGTCAGTGACATCATGAAGAGAAGCCTCGCCACAGCCCATTGCCCAGCTCAACAGGAACCCCAAGTGCAGAGGTCTGACGGAAGTCAAAAGCGTCCTGATGAAGCCACTATGCTACCTTGGAAGGATGGAAAGCATATTGCCAGGGACTACACCTGTGCCACCACATTGGCAGACACCTACTTGTCATACTCCGTAGTGGAAGGGGGTGGAGCTGCCAGCTACAGGGAGAACCAGAAGATCCACAAATATGAAGACCTTCCCCCTTGCTATAACTTCATCCCAATAGGGTCGGAGACCCTTGGAGCATGGGGCTAGTGTGCTCTAAAGTTCCTCAAAGAGCTGGGTGAAAAGCTCATCGTAGAAACCAAGGACCACAGGGAGACCAGCTTCCTCTTTCAGAGACTCAGTGTTGCGATCCAGAGAGGAAATGCCTGCAGCATTCTGGGCACGCGGCCCACCGCTGGTGGGCCACGTCTAAGTATTTTGTCTAAGTATTTTGTTAAGTATATAGTCTAAGTATTTTGTTAAGAAAAATGTCTGTCCAATCGTCAATACCATTGGCATTGGAGAATTCTGTAGGCCAGTCAACAGTCTCTAGGTCTGCTGTGAAATTCCTTGTTGAGGCCTCGTCATGGAGTCTAAATGAAACTGTTGTATTCGAGTGGTGGCTTACTAATGTTTGTTAAGAGGAAGGTTGGGTAGTGGTCAGTAGTGCTGTCTGTGATTATCCCTGATTTAAGGCGGGCTAGTATATTGGTCCATATGTGGTCTATTATGGTTGCACTTGTCTCAGTCAGCCTGGTTGGTTTAGTTATTGTTGGTATGAGAAGTGTGTTGTAAATGGTACATCACTTGTACAAACTCCGACACTCCTTCGGAAGCCTCTGCCGGGTCACTGCATGGGGAAAACCTGAGCCAGGACCCATCCTGGCAAACCTATCTGAACCTGAACTAAAACAGTTAACTATCACCCACGTATCTACTTAGTGCTAGGTGGCCAGGGACAGTGAATTATGTGAGAATGAGAATTCAGTTAACCATGACAATAACAGTAAATCACTTTCTTTTGCAGACACACTCCACCTACAGTGTGTTGATGCAGCGGGAAATGCAGATAAGAAGACCATTAACATGACCTGTTTAGTAGTGGGGAAGGCCAGATATGACACTGGGATAGTGTGTGGTGAACCCCAGGACTGTCCCATCGCCTCTGTCTGTTGTGAGGGTCACTGCAGGACACGCAAGGGGGTCGCCAACTGCCCTCTTGGCACACTGTGAGTTACTAATAGTCACTTCAGAGATGTATCATCTTTGTGGGTTTAGCTCTTAGTTATGATTATAACAACAACAACAACAACAATAATAATAATAATAGTCACTTGGTGTCATTTTTTCATTGAAATCTTATTTTAAAATGGATTATGCTTCATAATAATAATTTATTTTGACATGATACTTATTTGTACAAAGAAATATAATAGTTGGGTGTACATGCCAAAAGGCCCTTTATATGCAGTGCATTTTGGGCAAACTTAAAATTAACTTGACTCACGAAATCGTAATGACACGTCATGTTGACGGCAGTGAAGGGACTTGAGCTACAGTTCGTCACTGCCACGCTAGCTGGAGATTCGTCTGTAAAAACTTGTATTTGTGGTCACAGTGGTGCCTATGCTAACCTTCCTATGGTGTAGAAATATACCTAGTTGGACGAATCTTATTGTGACTAGCTAGTCCAGTGGCTAACGCGACGGTCTGGAGTTTTGAGACTCTCTGACCGCGGGTTCAATCTCGGCCGGGGTATTGTTTAAAATTAACTTATGATTAATAAGACAAAAACAATACATACGGTCATTAGATGAGATGTAGCTTATGAGTCAAATGAGTTATTAGTAATGAAGTTCATTATAATATGTAAATGCTTATGAAAATTTGTTCATAATGTTTATGGAGAAAGATTACGACCAAGCGTAATTTATAAAAATATTCTTATTTGCAAAAATTAACTTACAATGGATTGATTTATAATAGAGAGAGAGAGAGAGAGAGAGAGAGAGAGAGGAGTATTTAGTCTTTAGTATTTAGTCACTTAGCCATAATACCAACTCACCTCATAATATGTAATATTTTAAAATTAAGAATTAAAGTAAGTCTGCCCGAAATGCCTAGCCATGCTAGGTGTTCTTGTGGTACACTCTGTAATCATTATTTTACTACATGTAAACCACACAGTAACCAAATTCTGTAAACTCAGCATTGTAATCCTTATAGAGAATAAACTTTGAATTTGAATTGAATTGAATTTGAATTGAGAGACAGACAGACAGACAGACAGACAGACAGACTGACTCAGAGAGACTCAGGCATAGTGAGAAGAGAAGAGAAATTTAATACAAACTTTCAGTTCTAAAAACTAGTACTGTACTACAATGTGGTCCAGTAAAACATATGCCAGTATATGTCGTTTATGATCCCAGGTACTGTCCACTGACCAGAACTTGCCAATGGCTGGGTGAGAGCTGTGCCAAGGTCTGTGTCCCTGAATCTGTATACTGTGTATCTACTGGCAAGTGTGGACCCAAAAATGACTGCGAATTTGGTGAGCCTTCATATTTCTTCTAACAAGTACCCTCACTTACTCTAAGTTATTGTGTTTTGTTGGGTACTTAGCACAGCATTGGCTTAAGGTTCTTAAAATAATGGCAGATTTATCATATCTTAATACAAATATAATTTTTATTTCTTTGAGGTACATAATAATGTAGTTTACTTGTAATAAAGGAGTGGTATGTAATGCATACTTAAACAAATCAGGAAATAAACTTGATGGTAAATAAGTGCTCTATGTACAGTAATCGGTTATAATTTGTTAAGTTTGAGGGATCTCGGCTATATCAGCTTCTTCTTCATTAAAATAATTATAATAATAATCAGCTATATCAGAGTCATTAAGGCTACATTCCATGTAGAAGCTAACATTAAGAATGCCTTAAGTAACTTCAGCTTTTATAATTAATGTGCACTGAGAGATATATACTTCTCATTATAATTATCATATGTATATAGTCATCAACTCTATCACTGTCTTGCCAGAGGTGCTCTTACACTGCAGTTATAAAACTGCAACATTAACACCCCTCCTTCAGAGCACAGGAACTGTACATTATGTATCACCTGTATTTTACCTTGAATATTCTTCAAGATATTTTTCTTAACCCATAATAATTTTTACTTTCATTATTAATCCTTTTTCTTAATTTCACTAATTTACTAGTATGTAAACTCAGGTTTTTTTGCTCTTGAATTGCCCATTCTGTTCTATGAACCACTTACCATTATTGTCTTGAATAACATTTTTTTTAACTATCTTGATTTTTATCTAATAACTATTATTCTTGTATTGTTGCAGTTAGTACGAGCGGGGCGCCCTGGACACTACCTGGGCCACTGAGGGTGTCTGCTAACAATAACAGTGATGCAGTTGACAGTAAAGTCATCATTTCTGAGATGTTCAAAACTGCTTCCCCCAACTTTGGTGACACACCTGCTGTGGTTAGTGGAATATGTGCTAAAGTCTTCGCTAAAAATTAAATTTTTATTTTTATTATCACACTGGCCGATTCCCACCAAGGCAGGGTGGCCCGAAAAAGAAAAACTTTCACCATCATTCGCTCCATCACTGTCTTGCCAGAAGGGTGCTTTACACTACAGTTTTTAAACTGCAACATTAACACCCCTCCTTCAGAGTGCAGGCACTGTACTTCCCATCTCCAGGACTCAAGTCCGGCCTGCCGGTTTCCCTGAATCCCTTCATAAATGTTACTTTGCTCACACTCCAACAGCACGTCAAGTATTAAAAACCATTTGTCTCCATTCACTCCTATCAAACACGCTCACGCATGCCTGCTGGAAGTCCAAGCCCCTCGCACACAAACCTCCTTTACCCCCTCCCTCCAACCCTTCCTAGGCCGACCCCTACCCCCGTTCCTTCCACTACAGACTGATACACTCTTGAAGTCATTCTGTTTCGCTCCATTCTCTCTACATGTCTGAACCACCTCAACAACCCTTCCTCAGCCCTCTGGACAACAGTTTTGGTAATCCCGCACCTCCTCCTAACTTCCAAACTACGAATTCTCTGCATTATATTCACACCACACATTGCCCTCAGACATGACATCTCCACTGCCTCCAGCCTTCTCCTCGCTGCAACATTCATCACCACGCTTCACACCCATATAAGAGCGTTGGTAAAACTATACTCTCATACATTCCCTCTTTGCCTCCAAGGACAAAGTTCTTTGTCTCCACAGATCCTAAGTGCACCACTCACTCTTTTTCCCTCATCAATTCTATGATTCACCTCATCTTTCATAGACCCATCCGCTGACCGTCACTCCCAAATATCTGAATACGTTCACCTCCTCCATACTCTCTCCCTCCAATCTGATATTCAATCTTTCATCACCTAATCTTTTTGTTATCCTCATAACCTTACTCTTTCCTGTATTCACCTTTAATTTTCTTCTTTTGCACACCCTACCAAATTCATCCACAATCTCTGCAGCTTCTCTTCAGAATCTCCCAAGAGCACAGTGTCATCAGCAAACAGCAGCTGTGACAACTCCCACTTTGTGTGTGATTCTTTATCTTTTAACTCCACGCCTCTTGCCAAGACCCTCGCATTTACTTCTCTTACAACCCCATCTATAAATATATTAAACAACCACGGTGACATCACAATCCTTGTCTAAGGCCTACTTTTACTGGAAAAAATTTCCCTCTTTCCTACATACTCTAACTTGAGCCTCACTATCCTCGTAAAAACTCTTCACTGCTTTCAGTAACCTACCTCCTACACCATACACTTGCAACATCTGCACATTGCCCCCCTATCCACCCTGTCATACGCCTTTCCAAATCCATAAATGCCACAAAGACCTCTTTAGCCTTATCTAAATACTGTTCACTTATATGTTTCACTGTAAACACCTGGTCCACACACCCCCTACCTTTCCTAAAGCCTCCTTGTTCATCTGCTATCCTATTCTCCGTCTTACTCTTAATTCTTTCAATTATAACTCTACCATACACTTTACCAGGTACACTCAACAGACTTATCCCCCTATAATTTTTGCACTCTCTTTTATCCCCTTTGCCTTTATACAAAGGAACTATGCATGCTCTCTGCCAATCCCTAGGTACCTTACCCTCTTCCATACATTTATTAAATAATTGCACCAACCACTCCAAAACTATATCCCACCTGCTTTTAACATTTCTATCTTTATCCCATCAATCCCGGCTGCCTTACCCCTTTCATTTTACCTACTGCCTCACGAACTTCCCCCACACTCACAACTGGCTCTTCCTCACTCCTACAAGATGTTATTCCTCCTTGCCCTATACACGAAATCACAGCTTCCCTATCTTCATCAACATTTAACAATTCCTCAAAATATTCCCTCCATCTTCCCAATACCTCTAACTCTCCATTTAATAACTCTCCTCTCCTATTTTTAACTGACAAATCCATTTGTTCTCTAGGCTTTCTTAACTTGTTAATCTCACTCCAAAACTTTTCTTATTTTCAACAAAATTTGTTGATAACATCTCACCCACTCTCTCATTTGCTCTCTTTTTACATTGCTTCACCACTCTCTTAACCTCTCTTTTTTCTCCATATACTCTTCCCTCCTTGCATCACTTCTACTTTGTAAAAACTTCTCATATGCTAACTTTTTCTCCCTTACTACTCTCTTTACATCATCATTCCACCAATCACTCCTCTTCCTCCTGCACCCACTTTCCTGTAACCACAAACTTCTGCTGAACACTCTAACACTACATTTTTAAACCTACCCATACCTCTTCGACCCCATTGCTATGCTCTCATTAGCCCATCTATCCTCCAATAGCTGTTTATATCTTACCCTAACTGCCTCCTCTTTTAGTTTATAAACCTTCCACCTCTCTCTTCCCTGATGCTTCTATTCTCCTTGTATCCCATCTACCTTTTACTCTCAGTGTAGCTACAACTAGAAAGTGATCTGATATATCTGTGGCCCCTCTATAAACATGTACATCCTGAAGTCTACTCAACAGTCTTTTATCTACCAATACATAATCCAACAAACTACTGTCCCTTTCGCCCTACATCATATCGTGTATACTTATTTATCCTCTTTTTCTTAAAATATGTATTACCTATAACTAAACCCTTTCTATACAAAGTTCAATCAAAGGGCTCCCATTATCATTTACACCTGGCACCCCAAACTTAAACCCACCACACCCTCTCTAAAAGTTTCTCCTACTTTAGCATTCAGGTCCCCTACCACAATTACTCTCTCACTTGGTTCAAAGGCTCCTATACATTCACTTAACATCTCCCAAAATCTCTCTCTCTCCTCTGCATTCCTCTCTTCTCCAGGTGCATACACGCTTATTATGACCCCCTTCTCGCATCCAACCTTTACTTTAATCCACATAATTCTTGAATTTACACATTCATATTCTCTTTTCTCCTTCCATAACTGATCATTTAACATTACTGCTACCCCTTCCTTTGCTCTAACTCTCTCAGATACTCCAGATTTAATCCCATTTATTTCCCCCACTGAAATTCTCCCACCCCCTTCAGCTTTGTTTCGCTTAGAGCCAGGACATCCAACTTCTTTTCATTCATAACATCAGCAATCATCTGTTTCTTGTCATCCGCACTACATCCACGCACATTTAAGCATCCCAATTTTATAAAGTTTTTCTTCTTCTCTTTTTTAGTAAATGTATACAGGAGAAGGGGTTACTAGCCCATTGCTCCCGGCATTTTAGTCGCCTCATACGACACGCATGGCTTACGGAGGAAAGATTCTTTTCCACTTCCCCATGGACAATAGAAGAAATAAAAAAGAACAAGAGCTATTTAGAAAAAGGAGAAAAACCTAGATGTATGTATATATATATATGCATGTGCGTGTCTGTGAAGTGTGACCAAAGTGTAAGTAGGAGTAGCAAGATATCCCTGTTATCTAGCGTGTTTATGAGACAGAAAAAGACAAAACAAGACAAAAAATTAAATGTCTTGTTCATTTAAAATAATTTGTGACATCACTGTGGTATTTTGTATTACAATGTCCCAGATTTATATACTACTGTCATCTGCTCGGCTCGGGCTAGGTCCTATAGTTCACCTCGACCTTTCTGTATATTATCATCTTTGACAATATCTTGCCTGACCTTTCTATTTGCATTGATAGATGAATTGTCTCTTAGGTCTTCACAGTGAAAAATTTGACAAAATGGTTTGGTACGTGGATGCACCGGGGTGATTCATCCAGTGTGTGGGTGCATGTGGAGCCAACTTCACTGCTGACACCTGGACACTACATACGCTTTAAGCCTCATCCTCAAACTTATGCCTTTGGACTTGATTTTATCAATATGACAGAGACTGGTAAGTCTGGGTTTCCTGTCTGTGAAAATCAAAACATTAAAATTAATTTATTCACATTTTACTACTGCAGCTATTATCACTAGTACCATTGACTTGCAACCTGCTCGACATAGGACCACTCGTACTTATGACCGTGTGACTGGCAACAGGGCTGGGTGAGCTGATGCATACCGCCATACGACAGTTGACCACTAGTGGCAATTCGCCATCTCGGGAGAGCTCTCACATCACTCAGGCAGCATCACTTTGAGTTACCCTGCCCTATCAGCAGCATCATACTGTATTAACTGTGCTGTACTGTATATATGTACCTGGACAGTAAATTTCCCCATGGCCCCTAAGAGGAAGTCTGAATCTTACACTGGAGCTAGTGGCAGAAAGGCAAGAAAGGCTCTTACTCTCGACCAGAAGATGAAAGTAATTAAACAGTATGAGGATGGAAAAAACGTCAACAGCATTTCTCGTGATCTTCAGCTCTCCCATTCCACTGTCGACAATACTTAGAGCGCATCAAAGAAGCAGTGAAATCTTCAGCCCCTATGAAGTCGACAATTATCACAAAGAAACATGAAGACCCAGTTGCCAAGATGGAAAAATGCTCAAAGGTTTGACATCATTCCCTACCCAGTATGTTGGCAATTTTCAAAGGTACAACTTGTGTCCATTTTGACTTATGACCGGTTCGTCGGAACCAAGCTCGGTCGTAAGTTAGATGGTACTAGTATTACTAATAAATCTTTAAGGATAGTAAAAGAGTAAAACTGTAAAGAATCACATATTATATATACAGTATTAAGATATCACAAGTCCCTGGTAACTCTTGTTTTTACAATACAATGTAAATGCTTACCTACAGTATTCATAACGACATATTTTAGTTTGTAGGAAGCGAGTGCCAGCTCTCAGTCATGGCTTTTAACTGTCATCTGACTAACATGATTGAACCTAATAATACAAAGCTGTATCTATTTTTATACCCCCATATAGAATTTACTTTAACTGTGTTTTATATTTACTATTGTTATATTGATAAATTTTTCCTAATATTCCTGTGGCTTATTTGGGTATGTGATTTCCATCCACGCTCCTTCTTTTATTACTAGTTCAGAGCTTATCCTTTTTTACATTGTGTCCCTTAATATTTTTAGGTTGTGATCATATCCCCTTTGCTTCTCCTGTAAGATAATTAAAGCTTATGATGACATTTTGGTGCATCCTGGTTGGTTCAAGATGGACAGAAACATCATGATAAGCATCTCTCTCTCCTGTGTGTGTTTTTTTTTTTTTTTTTTTTTTTTTTTTTTTTTTTTTTTTTTTTTTTTTTTTTTTTTTTTTTGTGCACAGGGTTTGACAAGTCACAGCATTGTTCCTTTTTCTTTCATTAATTGTAGTATACTTACAACTCCAGTTGAAGAATATACTTGATAGTTAAAGATGATGTCTATAGTATTATTATATAGCAGGACCCCCGTATCTGCGAGGGATAAGTTCCAAGACCTTCCTCGGATGCCTGAAATTGTGGATAGTAGTGAACCCTATATTTAGGTAATTTTTTGTTTACATACATACCTATCATAAACTTTAATTGATAAATTACACACAGTAAGTCAAGAATTGGCACTTTTTCACTGATGAGAAGCACTTCAAGACTTCCCTTAGGCTGTGAAGAACTGTCACCATCACATCTTTTGCACCTTGGTGTCATTATTAAGCAAAATTAAGGGTTATTTTCGGTCCAGGGAAAACCAGATAACTACCAGACCTGCAGATACGGCAGTCTTACTGTACTATTAAAGTGTTGTACTATCATTTATTCTAGTTTCTAAGACTAAGGATATTTTACTGCCTCTTGTTGTCTTCTTTATGTAAGTTATTTTATTTTTACCATCTGCATATTATTGATGATAAGTTTGGAATTTTTTCTGTTACTATTAGAGTTTTTAATTGGCAGGGTCTGGAATTCAGAGAATAATTGTGCAGCTAGTAGCACCAGAGTTGCCAGCTGTTCTGTTAGCAGATTCAGCTCTCAGAATCTCCCTTAAGCAGGCTGCGTCCAAGACTCTCAAGCTTTCAGAAATGGTCAATGTAACATGTGAAGATGAGCACTACTGGCAGGCATGGGAACAGGGAGCTGGTGAGTAGCTTAAAAACTATTCATTCTTCACCAGTTTTTTTTTTTTTGGGGGGGGAAAGGGAGGAGGGAGGTTAAAATCTGCATATAGACAGTTGGACACTTCTGTGTTTTTGCGATATTAAAAGCAATTTTTCAGCAGTTTGATAGCATCCTGTGAAAAGCAGTTATAATCATATTCTCCTTGTTTGTACGTAAAGAATTATAAATGGGTTTTCAAATTAAGAGCATATTATTTTATAAGATTGTATTTTTAAAATATTAACTATTTCTGAATACGTACATGAAAAAATATATAAATGAATAAATAATAGCATAAGCTGACAGGTGGTAAGAAAGACACTATGCAGGAAAGTTTTCAATATGACATTCTGTCTAAGACCGGACTTTATTGTTTGCCTTATATAACGTGACGGTCTTGTAGGGCAAAGGCTTCATAAGGTAAACAAGCATGAATGATGTAATGAATAGTGGCTGGAGGAAGTCATTATTCTTGAACTGATACTATCAAGCAAAACAAGGGTATTAATATGTTGGCAGGTCCCATCACTCGTATTAATATGTTGGCAGGTCCCATCACTCGTATTGTACATAATTTTATATAATAAAAACATTTTCATGTGAACTTGGCCTAGGGTCCCTTCCTCTTGAGCACTTATTTGCCTTAAAAGGTGGGGGTATCTGTGTGCTTTTGTATACCTCTCTTTCTCACCCCCAAAGTACATATATAAATGTCACTGTAGTTATGTACTGTCTGATGTGATGAACTTTGTAAAGGCTTGTTTTTTAGTGTGTTTATCTAACAAAGAGTGCTTGAGTATTTTGAGATTTTGAATGAAAATGTATAATTATTATAAATTGATATAAAATAAATTAATTAAAAATATGTACAGTACTACCAGCTGGATAATATATGGAAGAAAATTTTTATAAGTGCATGTTGGGTAAATTAGCTAGATAGTTACCCAGTGATACCTTAAAAATTAAATTGCACTCAACTAGTATTTAGGTAAATGAACACACATAAACATCCAAACAATGCAAATGTGCTCAGTTAACTAAATAGACTGTCAGCTTGCACATACCATTCATACTCTTAACTGCAGTATTTTATTGATAAATACTTCAAGTATCTAGATTGCATTATGGTTTTAGGTAATTTATGCATAAAACAGCAGGTAATATGATTAGGTCTAAATTTAAGAAGTATGTAAGCCTTATGATTAGAACATCCAAAATGCATTTGCATAATTAGTGGCTTTCTACTGAGCCGTCAGTGTATCAAATATATATGTATTATAATAAGATAAAAAGCAAAATACAATTAATTGGAAAGTATAATTTTTTTTTTTTTTTAAATTTTTGTGGGAGAGATTATGCTGGAAAATTGTATAGATGAAATATAATGTGTTTTAAGTGGGGAAAGTTGTGGAGGACATCCCCTACCCCTCCTACCTCCCACCCTTGATTTATACACCCTCTCTGTCAACCTTATCCCTCTTTACACACTATACATGCCAAACCACCTCAACAACCCCTCCTTAGCCCTTGGTGACCCCACATCGTCTTGTAATTTTTAGCCCCCAAATTCTCTGCTTAATATTCATGCCACACATTGCTCCCATAGCACAGTGTAAACTGATAATTATAATACAATGTAAAGCATGGTAAATGCAATACTTCGCATAAAAAAATAATTATTTTTAAAGCTAAATTTTTATGTAATGCAGAGATTAGGTTTTTGCATGCATGATTTATTTTTTGATTCTGTGCCTTCTACAGACTTGCCAAAAGAAGCAGCTCAAGCTGGCCTTTTGGACTATGCTCACCCAGCAGTGATATCGTGGGTGAGGGCTCTCCAGCAGCCTCGCCTTGGTATACTGCAGTTACCCAAGGTTGGAGATAAGGATGGTAACTGGCAAGGACATGCTGGTTTTGAAAGAAGAGGTGGTAAATATAGTGATGGTCATAGTATGAATACTGGAGATGGAAGACGAAGTCCAAAAGGAGCAGGAAATATGGATAGTGTTGAGAGAGGACTGAAGTTGGAATGGACTTCTATGCCTGCATCCCGTGATAAAGTGAAGATTTATATCTCCTACTCACTTGACGATGGTCAAACGTAAGTCTTACTTATTATATTTTTCAGTCATTATGCAGAAATACTAAAAATACACAGGTGCTCATACCTTGAATGCCTTGGAAAATAAACAAATTCTCACTGTGAGGCCATTCATTGTGTGTGAAAACAGTTCATAAGGAGTGAATTTAATAGCCTTATTATACACACTCATCCTGTGGGCAGTCACATTAATAAAGACCTGCCTTGTTTGTAAGTAACTTTTTTCTTGATATGAGCTTGATCATATAATTTTAGGCATTCAGGGTGTCAAGTCAATGGTTAGAATGCCAAACTTCTGACTTATACATCCCATTAGTTGGAGAAAGGGCAAAGAGGGATAATTATCCAAACTCCTTTTACTTGGCTCCTGCTACAACCTCTGAAAGAGTATAAATTATTAAATCACAAAAGAATTCAGCTAGTAGCTATGAAGAAAGTTTTTGTTTTTATTTTCTCAACATGCCAGCCATTTCCCACTGAGGCAGGGTGGCCCAAAACAGAAAGAACACTCACCATCATTCACACATAATCACTATCTTTGCAGAAGCACACAGAAATAACAGTTCAGATATTACTCCAAACAGCAAATATTCCAAACCCCTCCTTTAAAGTGCAGGCATTGTACTTTCCACCTCCAGGACTCAGGTCCGGCTAACCAGTTTCCCTGAATTCCTTCACAAAATACCCTGCTCACACTCCAACAGCTTATTCACTCCTATCTAACATACTCACATTTTTTTTTTCTCAACAAGTTGGCCGTCTCCCACCGAGGCAGGGTGACCCAAAAAGAAAGAAAATCCCCAAAAAGAAATACTTTCATCATTCAACACTTTCAACTCACTCATACATAATTACTGTCTTTTCAGTTCAGATACAACAATTGAGAAGCATATATGAAGATATACATGATACATAAAACATACTCCCTCTAAACTGCCAATATCCCAAACCCCTCCTTTAAAGTGCAGGCATTGTGCTTCCCATTTCCAGGGCTCAAGACTGGCTAACCAGACTATACTCTCATATATTCCCTTCTTTTCCTCCATGGATAATGTTATTTTTCTCCACAGATACCTCAGTGTGCCACCTGCCTTTTTTTCCTTCATTAGTTCTATACTTTACCTCATCCTTCATAAACCCATCTGCTGACATGTCTACTCTGAAATACTACCTGAACACATTCACTCCTTCCATACTTTACCCCTACCATGTGATATCTAATTTTTCTTTACCTAACTCATTTGATACCATCATTACCTTACTTTTGTCTGTGTTCACTTTTAACTTTCTTCCTTTACGCACCCTCCCAAAAGAAACAACCGCTGTTATTTACAAAAAAGCATTACAAATATTATTGCCACCTATTGGAATAATTTTCAACAAATTACATGAAGAACACAGAGAATCAAAGTTTTTTACTGAAATGTATAATTTTTTGTCAAATCAAAATCAAAATTTTATTGCTTTGCAAAGGTTACAATATATGTTTACATTTCATGTCTGGCAAATGACCCCAATGATGCCTGGCATGATTATTATTATATCTGGGGGAGGTGGGGGAGAATCATTAAACCAATAGTGGGCATACAGTACCTGGGGTAAAAGAGGCAATCAAGTTTGATCCAAGGAAGGGAACAGAGATGCACTATAACCTCCCCTCACCAGCATCAAGGTACTTGACATTAATGTACAGGGAAACATATTGCTCTTTCTCCTCATGTTTCGATATAATGTCAGGGGAAACTTTTCTTAAAAGTTTGTGACCTATTTTTCCTTGAGAAACTACTAGGCACAAATTCTGTGTGCTCTGATACAGAAACCTATAAGGATGTTGCATGAGTAGTAGTGTATCAGGTTGGAGGT